CGGGTCTTAAGCATTAATGTGGCCCGTAGGCTTTGGGAGTGACTCGTAGTCTACTCATTTTTTACTTTGCCCGCATCAGAGTGGCGACCGGGTTTTAAGCAGTAATGTGGCCCGTAAGCTTTTCTTGTGAGGTGTCGAGCTATGATTGTGTTGTATCAGCTTCGTAATGCTGGTCACCCACTCCTACAAGAAGCTACTAGGAGCTCGACCTTCGGGGGCAGCACTACTAACTTTAGGTCGCCAGCTCACACGGGAGCCTTGGAAGGCTTGACCGGTAAGGGCGCCTATGTAGTCTGTTGGCCGCCAACTCCCACGGAAGCCACGGAGAGCTTCATCTTTGTAGGGGGGACCTTGCGGAGAGGACTGATGAGGCATTATCTAAATTGAAAGTAAGGTTGGTAGAGCTACTTAGTCTGTTAGCTCCCTACATAGTCTTCGAGTTCATAAAAGATGTAAACTATAAAGCGATAGCTTCAATTTCTAAAAAGTGAGGACTTAGCTTTGGTAAGATGAGAACTTAGCTTTTGTAGGATGAGAACTTAGCTTTTTGTAGCGTGTTCCCACAGACAGCGTCAATTGATGTAACTGTTTCTAGTCACGTACCAATTTTTTGTGATGTATAAATTTTTTTGGCTAAGTACCTTGTTATTTGACCCAGTGGTGACGTGCCTTGGCGATGAGCTATTTGGTGGCGAACTGCCTGGTGGAGAACTACCTGGTGGCGAGCTCCCTGGTGGAGAGCTACTTGGTGACGAACTGCTTGGTGGCAAACTCCTTGGTGGCGAACTCCCTGGTGGCGAACTGCCTGGGGGAGAATTGCCTGATGGCAAACTGCTTGGTGGAGAGCTACCTGGTGGCGAACTCCCAGGTGGCGAACTGCTTGGGGGAGAACTGCCTGGTGGACTCGTCATTTGACCTGCTCCTAGGCGGCCTGCAACTCAGAGGATGGTGGAGCTCCCTGGTGCAACGCAACCCGACTGCCCTTTGTATGAGGTGATTTCCTCTCCTTTGTAGGCGGCGGGAGCTAAGGGACCTGCGAGAACTGAATTAGAGGACCCGGGGGTATTTTCCCGGTGGGGACTCACCGATGCCTAAGTTAGCATTTTGATTATAGAGAGCTTGAAGAGAAATGAGAGAGCTAGAGARCAGGGGTTACCATCCTTTTTTTCCCCCCTTTTGGCTTTGGGGGTCAGAGTCCTTATATAGTGGTGTCCTCGCGGGTTAGGTGGGTGAAAAGCCTTCAAACAACCTCGAGGTTGTCAGGCTAGCGCTTGTGTCAGGCGGCCAGGTCGGTGCCTGGGCCAGGTTGTCAGGTCGGCTCCTGTGTCAGTCGGTGGGTCGATGTCTGGGCCAATTTGTCAGGTTGGCGCCTGTGTCAGTCGGCGGGTCGGTGACTGGGCCAGGTTGTCAGGCAGGAGATCTTCCTGTGATACACCAAACTACTCTTCTGTACCGAGCTACCCTATAAGTGGCGAGCTGCCCAGGGGAGCTATGCTGAGCTCCTTGGGCTATGCTGAGCTACTTGTGGCAAGCTTTTCCAAGCTGCTTGTGGCGAGCTTTGCCGAGCTGCCTGGCTCCTTGGTGGCGAGCTCCTTGGAGAGCTGCCTAGCTCCTTGGCGAGCTCTTTGGTGATTTACCGAGCTCCTTGGTGAGCTACCGAGCTCGCGGGGTATTGCCGTTATGGTTTATCAGTGGGTGTCTTATGGGTTGCCAGATCAGCTAGGTCGAATCATGTGCCAAGCTG